CCGAATCCAAAAGCCTAATTTCGAAGATCGAATACAAAAAAGTCAATTGCGCAGCACGATTTCACGGCCACTGACACATTCGGCACTATTTTTGGAAAGCGCACATTCGAAACCGAAAAAAAGTAATCAATCCCATCACAGAAAATTCTACTCTACACTGTTAGACGAAAAAATCCGAATCCAAAAGCCTAATTTTGAAGATGGAATACAAAAAAGTCAATTGCGCAGCACGATTTCACAGCCACTGACACATTCGGTGCTATTTTTGGAAAACACATGCTCGGAACCGAAAAAAAGTAATTAATCCCATTACAGAAAATTCTACTCTACACCGTTAGACGAAAAAACCCGAATCCAAAAGCCTAATTTCGAAGATCGAATACAAAAAAGTCAATTGCGCAGCACGATTTCACGGCCACTGACACATTCGGCACTATTTTTGGAAAGCGCACATTCGAAACCGAAAAAAAGTAATCAATCCCATCACAGAAAATTCTACTCTACACTGTTAGATGAAAAAATCCGAATCCAAAAGCCTAATTTCGAAGATGGAATACAAAAAAGTCAATTGCGCAGCACGATATCACGGCCACTGACACATTCGGCACTATTTTTGGAAAACACACGCTCGGAACCGAAAAAAAGTAATTAATCCCATTACAGAAAATTCTACTCTACACTGTTAGACGAAAAAATCCGAATCCAAAAGCCTAATTTCGAAGATCGAATACAAAAAAGTCAATTGCGCAGCACGATTTAACAGCCACTGACACATTCGGTGCTATTTTTGGAAAACGCACGCTTGGAACCGAAAAAAAGTAATCAATTCCATTAGAGAAAATTCTACTCTACACTGTTAGACGAAAAAATCCGAATCCAAAAGCCTAATTTCGAAGATCGAATACAAAAAAGTCAATTGCGCAGCACGATATCACGGCCACTGACACATGCGGCACTATTTTTGGAAAACGCACGCTCGAAACCGAAAAAAAATATCCTATCGCATTAAGGAAGAGATCACTCTACGCTGATAAATGAAAAAAACCAGTATCAAAAGCCTAATTTCGAAGATCGAATCCTGAAAAGCCAATTGCGCAGCACGATCTGACAGTCACTGACACTTTCGACACTATTTCCCGAAAACGCAAGCTCGAAACCGAAAAAGAATATCCAATCCCGTTAAGGAAAAATTCACTGTACACGGATATGTAAAAGAAAACCGAGTCCAAAAGCCTAATTTTGCAAACTGGAAAGAAAAAAATAAACTGCGTCGAACGATCTGTCGCCGACTTTCACATCCGTCGCTATTTCTCCGAAATAAACTGTCGAAATCGAAAGAAAGCTAGCCTATTAGTTATAAGAAGACCTAATAAACGCTGTGATTAAATCAAATCCATATTTCGAGAATATAAGGGATAATGCATGGGATAACTGTTTGTCACGTTTTCACAACTCATCCATCATTATACAATATTTCGCATATTGGCCGTCTACATTGAAGAAAAATTGCGGAAACTATTAAATTGTCTTTTTCAACCTATGTCAACCAAATATCGCAATGGCTATTGAAATCTTGACTCTACACTCGATGATACATTACTATGCTATTGTATTGGCACTCACGACTCACACTCACACCATTTCATTTCGTAAATGATCACTACATGATTTGCATTATGTAACATGATTTCGTTCCACGTGTGGTATATTACCACCGAACAAATGTTGCACCCAGATGTCTTGATCTTGATAAATTTCTCACAATTCCTTCAACTTGTCCGTGTCCCATTCGTAAATAATACGTCAGTACTGCAAAGGTAACTCACCTTTACACTGTTACGGAATAATAACTAATATTGCGCAATACTGTTCTTCACTATGTATCCTGTGGATTGCTCCAATTAAAACATCAATTTGAGACAAAACTACTTAGCGTAATGTTTCGTGCACACGTTAGAAGCTTTACTTTTACGCGCGAAAATATTCCACTACTTACCGGCATGCTCGACTGGCATCGATGTGAAATGACCTACGGTTGCGTAAGCTACGGGTCTTTGTGGCCGGAATATATGTTTCTGTAACAAAAATAATAAATTAAAAAATGATAATGATAATGATGATAATGGAAATGATATTAATAATACGAAAGAAATTGGTGCCCCATTAAGTTTTTCATCTGTATAATTAATTATTTATTAATATTTTATTTATATAATATTATTAGTTTTTATACAAAAATCCATTTAAAACATTTTTTGAATAAATCAACCAATTTTTAATACTTTATTACCAGTTATTGAAATACCATTATGTAGAAAATCTCTCAAGGAGAGTGAGTCATGGATTTACAAAGGGAGTGCGTATACGAATGCATTGAGTTCAATATCTATAGTACATTTTATCTATGATTGTATACACACTGTATTTGATATGATTATGCACATAGTGCAGATTTTTTTTAAGGTTATCTATTATAAACTTTAATCGCACCCTGCACTTGTAATATATTTATTAAATTAATTTTTTTATGAATTATGGTAAATAATAGTTAAAGCCATCATGAAATTTATTATTCAGTCAAAAAAATGTTGTGTTGCTCGTGTTGGGATATTAACAGAATTTGAAAGAATTCCTGATAGCAAGTTTGAAACTCCACTTGCTCTTGTTTATACAAAGGTAAAATTTACCAATTTGAAATGTAATAGTATGATTTAAAAATCTATTTTTACTAGGGTGGTAGTGTACCACATTTAACTAAGGATGTTTTTAAACTGATTACTACAAATCCACAAGTATTATCTATTTCATTACCTTCCACATATTTAATGTTAGATTCTGTAAAGAATACTAATAATAGTTTTGCAGAATTTGTGGGTATGAAAGTATGTAATACTATTATTATAAATTTTCAAACAATATTAAGCAAAGTTATTAATTTAAGCAAATATTTTGCTTAGGAATACATCAATTTTCTTACACTACATGATCCAGCTTATACTACACCTTCAGGTTTTCAAGTATTTAATTCCACTCCTATATGGACAAGATGTGGAAAGCATCATTTAACACCTAATAAATATATGGATTTAATTGAAGCATTTAAACCAGATATATATGTTGCTTTATGTGATGGAGATACTAATATCAATAGTGGTAAAAAAAGGTTATCAAAAGCTGTGCAACGTAGTATAACGTTTTTTGAAGAATGCCTCACTAAACATTGTTCATCTGAAACACTGAAATCCTCAGAAATATTAGGTGCAATTGAAGGTGGTTATGATAAAGAAGCAAGAACGTTATCAATCAATTATTTGAAAAATAAACCTATAATGGGATATGTGATTGATGGTTTACATAATAATGGACCAGATATAAAGAATATATCAGCTGAAGAGATTAAAGAAGTTGTAGAACATACAATAGTAAGTAAGAAATTCCCTGTTACTATACATATGTGTATTGTATTTTTTTAGTGAATTATATTAATTACAGAATCTTTTACCTACTGAAAAACTTAAAGTATCAATGGGATGTTGGAATCCTCTTACAGTTTTAGACCTTGTTGAATTAGGTGTCGATATATTTGATACATCATATCCCTATATAATTACTGAAAATTTAGAAGCATTGACTTTTCTATGTAATCATCATAGCTGTAATATAGGACATGTAATATCATTTACAGAGGAAAGGTAATGTAAAAGTGAACTTATACTCATTCCTTTATTTTAATAATAAATATTTTTTAGCAGATATGCAGATGACTTCTCTCCAATATGCTCTCATTGTGAATGTTTGACATGCAAAAATCACACCAAAGCATATTTACATCATTTATGTAAAACCAAAGAAATGCTTTTCTCAGTTCTTTTAATGATGTAAGTTCTAATTATGCATTTTGATTTATTTATGAATATTATGTGATAACGTATTTATTAATTTTTTTTTTTCAGACATAATGTTCATCAATATTTAGAATTTTTTAATGCTATTAGAGAGAATATAAAACGTGGTACATTTTATGATTACAAAAAAGAAATTAATCTAAAATTTAAACAAAACAATGTTATTGAAACAGATAAACTTACAGATACACAAAGTGCTAAATCTAAAGTTTTATAACACAATTTAGAAAATTATCAATATTTAATAATAAATTATTTTTACATTATAATTTTATAAGATCATAATAACATTTTACCCATATAAATCTGATAAAATAATAATTATTCAGGTAAAAAATTCGGATCTAAATAATTATAAGAGGAATTACTGAAACTTTGTGGAAAGTAATCTAAATCATAACTTCTATATCGGGGTGGCTTTATAGGAAGTAATCTATGTAATGTGTCATGTATTGGTTTTTCAGCTTCTAATTGTGCTACTGCACAATCACCACATAAATCAATTCCATCTTGACATTCTGTACAATGCCATCTTGTACCTGTTAAAGGATCTTCTTTACAAATTGAACACTGAAACAAAATGTTTTAAAAAGTATTTTAAAAAGTGCATTAAAAAATCGTTGTTACATGTACATACCTTGTATCCAACATGTTTATATGTAGGAGATGAATTTTGTTCTTTCTCAGCTTTCACATGTTTTAATAATTCTATATGTCTCAATTCAGGATTATCATCAATAATACTATTCCCAGCATCATCTTCCTATTAATATATATAACAAGATAAATAATGCTGATTAAATTTATATTAGACTATAACATCGTAACAACACTTACAGATTCCTCTGTAACTGCTTGTTCTTTGGTTTCATCAGGCATTGTGAAAGACATATCTTGGTGAGGAAAGAATGTTGAACGTCTAAATAACGAATAATTATTCCTTTGATGTCTATGACCAATTCCTTTTTTAACATCTAATTTCATTTTAGGACCTCGACCAGGTATAGGTAATCCAGCCCGTAACAGTTTAATAAAGTATTTCTGAACTCTACTAGATACTTGTTTTGGAGTTCTATTGCCTAATTAAAAATTAACACCAATCTATAAGTTAAACAAACAAGCAACATCATTAATAACATACCTAAAGCATTGGCTATTTTGGTCCATCTTCTCATTTCTACATCTTCTGGTGGATATTCAATTAAAAGTTCCTCTAGTCTTCTTTGTTCTTCTACTGTCCATAATTGATTAAAGGTTTCTGGTTTACTCTCATCAAAAGCACGTCCTCTTACTAATATCTAACATTAAGTTATATAAGTATATATAAAATAAAATGTTTTACCAGATAAATGTATATACATGTAATGAAATATACTTTTCCATTCTCTTGTTCCGATTTTGTTTGTATGTGAGGCAAAATATGTCCGTGCCTTGTTTGAGGTCTCATTCGCATATCAGGTGCAGCTATATTATATTGCGTCCAGTCAATATAAGGAAGGTCCACAATTTTTTGTGGTCCTGGTAATTCTGGCAGTTCACCATTTTGTATCTGAGCTACGAAAGATATTGGATCCTTTAGTGCTTTGGAACGAATTGATAAAAGTTTATCCAAATCTTCTATAGCTTGAACACGTTGTGCTTCAAGAATGACAATTGTTTTTAAAAGAGTGGTATAATCTTTATTTCCTTTTAATGCCAAGTGATCAGATTCAAAATAAAATTCACTAGGTTCTTCATCTTCACATCTTTTTTCTTCGTCTTCCATCGCTAATCGATGTTTAACATGTACGACAGGTTATACGCGTGCTCACAGTACCACGTTAACCTTCGTTATCTGCCAAATAAAATAATGTACATTTAAAATAGGATGTCAAATAAAGTCAATGTGTACTTATTTATTCTAATTATTATTTTGTATTTTCAATACAGTATAAATTCGATTTAAAATATTAACAAGTACAAAAATTACGAATGCATTTTTACGATATTATTCACACACGTTCTCAGTTATAAATTCAACACGTGTGGAAGCACCAGTTCAAATACTATACCATGCAAGATTAAATCGATGTTATATATATAATTTATTTATATTTTTCATTACAATTCTATCTTAATTTTATTTTAATATATTTCATTTACATTGTAATTCTTAAAAAATCTTAAAAAGAATATATAAAAGATATATAAAAATAATTTAATATTAAAAAAGTGAAAATATCATAATTAAGATACAAAATTAAAGAAATTAAATGACAGAGTTTTGTATTCGGAGATGATACCACTTCATTTCAAGTACATAATATGCTTACATATGTATATAATATCATTATGCACAATATCGTTCTTGTGTTCTTTTCAAAAACTTACTGTATCTTCGGTCCACGTAAATGTACTTGCGATAAAATTGCATGAGACATAACGTGAAATATTACTAAGCTTAATCATGGGTAAAAGTGCATGGAAATAAGGAGGCCACGTAAAAACGTGAGCCAACGAGATATTATATCCTATCGTTTTACCATTATTTCACGAAAATCGAATGGAATTCGAATTATCTTATCGAATATACCTCTTTATAACAAAACTTCACAATACACTCCAAAATATAACTGATTACCAAAAGGTGACGCACGTACTGTCCGCACACCAATATCCATGAATTCGTAAAGTTTGCGTAAACAGTTCTTTTAACGCTCATTAATCTTGAGGCAGTTATTCATTGGTTGCACAGAAAACACATCGTGTACACACTAATTCGCCACGAAACATACGCTTTTATCTAAGATATTTCTATGCACTCTGATCTTTGTGTTTGCAAGCCCCCCCTAAATTTGTCTCGAGGCAATAGATTGGCTACTGATCGGTAAAGATATCGGTAGATCGCGATGAGGGTCCGGAGCACTCTTATCAGGGGAACCATCATATACGCCTGTAAAAATAAGCGACTAGCTGACCCGTTAACACTTCAGTCTTGTTCTGGACATCTTCCGATAACGTCACACTGTCTTCGATCCGGCTCTAAGACACGAGGAAGCCGATTCGTGTCTTCGTTACACGGATTGAACATAGAGCCGATCGAAGGCGGTCTAAAAGTCAGGCGTGCGGCTCGCGCGATGTATGTTTGAATTCAAAAGGAAAAGAAACGTTCGCTACAGTGCTGGTGAATTGGATAATACGTAGTAATCGGTACTTGTCGTGAGTTTAGTTGAAGCTTGTGCAAAATGGGTCAAGTCGAGGAAAAAGGAAATGAAAGAATTGGGCTAAAACGAGAGCTTGGTCTTTTCAGCGCAGTGAGCATCATCCTGGCTGTTATGATCGGTATGAAAACAATACGAAATTGTGGCACATTGAAATTAATTTTATACAACGCAACGTTTCGAGATTTCGTCGTAGTTACGTCCAATTGAAAATATTAAATAACAAGTGTTTTCTTCCGGTACAACGTAATGCTCGATCCGCGGGGTTAACCGGCGTGATTAATTGATTTTATTCTTTTTCTTTTCTTCTTTCCTTTGTTCTTTGTACGCAATAACAGTTTAATCGGTTTTATTCAATTCATTAATGAACTTTCCAGATAATTGTCGCAGGTCAAAAATGCGTTAAGCATTATCAGCATATGTTCCACTCCATTATGCTTACATAATGACATTTTAATCCTTTTAGTGTGAAATGTTCGAACAATGAACTTTCACGTAAGCGTAGTTTTATCGCTACTCGTTAACTGTCTTTTGTATAATATATTTCCTTGCCTAAACATCTTCATGATTCATAAACATATGCACAAAGAGCATCGAAGTTATCCTATTATAGTTACTAACATCTGACGTGGAACTTATGTAAATAGGGAACACATTTAACACTCGGTTAGCGAGGAAACAATCATTTAATTTAATGCATATATTATGAACGATGGGTGAAAGTATGATTGTATTCGTTCAGATAATAGTAAGTTAATATAGGTAAGTTAAAATACGAGTCGATCTAGACAATGATAACAGAAGTTATCGTAACAATTTAATTATCCGTATATTGAGAAGCGTATAAAATGTATAACACCCTTGTGATCACTTCTGAAGATATTTTGTTCCTTTCATCTGTCAATACTTGATACGATTGATATAGTATCATACAATGTTCAGTGTACATTTCGTAGATAACGTTTCGTCCTAAATTATATTTGCTTATCCATCCGTTTAGATGGTATTAATATCGTAAATCGTAATAAACAACGGTTACAGCGTTTAAAGAACCGAGGGAGTCCAATAAAAATCTGTAGAACCCCCTCAACGTCCGAACATCGTATTTAAGAATAATTAACTGTAATTGCATTATTGTGTGGGCTCGAATAAGCATCGGCTTTATACTTCCAACGATACAGCTTATCTTCTTCAATAGTGATTCAAAGCGCTACCCGCTATTTTCTTACTGTGCTCCTTTGACAAGACAGGGTTGCTTTGTAGCCATTTATTACGTCTATTGGATGTTGAATCCCATTTAATAACTGTACAATTTGATTATACATTATACTATCGAGTTATAGCCATTCTGCTATATTGTACTTTATGTACATATTCCATTCGGCTTAACTTGTTAAATAAATATTAGCAAGTATTTCAAACAGGAATAATGTCAGTTATAAACTTCTACAATCCATAATATTTCTCGAGTTCGTAAATAGAAAGTGTACTTTAGCTCCGATGCTATATCTATAGTATTATAATGTGATCAGATGAAACTTTTCAAACAATATCTAGATTATCCCGGTATAATCCAGTCGGCCTAGCTGATCATGTTGCAACTAAATTATCAGAATGCGGAAGCAAGTGTAAACACTTCTTCTAGATTAATCCTCAATCTTATGTTTGAAGGTTGTTATGTACTTGTTGCATCTCTGCGTGATAAAGAATAAAACCTGACGTAATATTTCGGTAATTATACGCAGAGGTTTGACACGATTACGAATCAAGGGGGTTAATCAAGGTTAATCTCTGACCCACGCGCTCGAGTATCACGAGGCATCCTCCTTAAGTATATTTAACCGATTTTAATCGAACTTTGCAGACTGTAAAATCTATCGGACTTGGTTTTTATCTACAAATCTAAGGTGACTTTTGTCATAACGATTTTATCGACAATATATCTATGCCAAACGGTATTTTTATTATACATCGTTGAAACGTTTAAGGCCTCGATTCGCAGTTTCGAATACCTCGACACTTGTAAGAATAACGATAAAGAGAGACGTATTCGTCCAAGCTAAGACTAGCTACGTTGCTTGCACTCTTCTTCTCTTTTTCTTTCCAAGATATTCATTCTCTTTGTGCAAATTATACACTCAATAATCGAGAAACTGATAAAGGTTACGACGATAAGGATTCATTTTATTTGTTGTCCAAACATTATTTCTACGTTATTTTTACAAATGAGACTAAGTCTGACAATTATTTTTAATCAAGGAAATTATTTTGCCTTCAAGGTTCTGGAATTTTTGTGTCCCCCACCAGTGCTCTCGAGAGATCAGGATCCATCGGATTTTGTCTAATCGTCTGGATTACTTGTGGCTTACTGTCTCTACTAGGGGCTCTCGCGTTCGCCGAATTAAGCACAGTCGTACCACGATCCGGGGCCGAATACGCTTACTTTATCGAAGCTTTTTCACCCTTGCATCAATATGCCGGAGAGATACCAGCTTTTATATGTTCTTGGGTTTACGTGATGCTATTACGGCCAGCGGAAGTGGCGGTAGTTACGTTGACATTCGCTGAATATAGCGTACAACCATTCTCCGAGTATCTAATTGATCTGCCCCAGGAATCAATGTTTAAACTGAAAAAGATCATAGCCATCCTAGCTCTCGGCTTGATCACGTACATCAATTTAACTAGCGTAAAATTGTACGTGAGGGTTCAAAATATATTCACGGTATGCAAAGTAGTCGCATGCATTTTCGTAATTGCTGGTGGAATTTGGTGGCTGTGCACCGGACATACAGAATTATTGGCGAAGCCGTTTCATGGTACCACCGTTTCACCAGGCAATGTGGCGCTAGCTTTCTACAGTGGATTATGGGCTTACGATGGTTGGACCTCCGCTGCAGTTGTTACGGAAGAGATCCAGAAACCAGAAGTTAATATACTTAGGAGTATTCTAATCGCAGTCCCTCTGATTACCGTTTTGTACGTTTCGATGAACCTAATGTATATGGCTGCTTTAACGATGCCCGAAATGGTAAAAGCACCAGCCGTAGCTGTCCTTTGGGCGGAAAAAGTGTTGCCCGCCTGGCTGGGCTTTGTAATACCACTGGGTGTTGCATTATCTACTTTTGGATGCAGTCTTAGCATTCAGTTTGGGGTATCCAGACTTTGTTATGTAGCTGGAAGCGAAGGTCATGTACCCAGAGTTTTTAGCTTTGTACATATTGAAAGAATGACACCTGCTGCAGCAGTGGCGTTTCAAGGATTGCTGACATTATTTTGTCTACTTTTGGGAGACATTATCGCACTTATCGAATTTGCAAGTTTCTTAACGTGGGTATTCTATGGACTTGCGATGTTATCGTTAATAATCATGAGACGTACGAAACCAGATGCACCCAGACCGTACGCAGTGCCAATTGTGATACCTTGGCTAGTATTGGGTGTTTCTATTTTCCTGGCTGTAACACCAATCGTACATGAACCAACACCCAAATATCTATTTGCTTTGTTATTTATTCTTTGCGGCATTGGTATCTATCATATGTACGTGTACAAAAAAGTTAGAAGTACTTTGGCAAGTGAGTATTGCAGAAATATTTTTCAAAGCATTTTTCATATTTTTTATCACGATATGTAGTATATAATAAATTTTTTTCTTTTTTTTTTTTTTTAGCAAAAATCACATACCTAATCCAGGTATTATGTCTCGTCGTTGCTCCAGATAAACAAGACTGATGCAAAATAACGTTTTTTATTTTACATTTTAATTGTACATATTGTAAGAACGTTTTCATTATATGATTTAAGTTGAAGTATATTTAATGCTTTAATGAGAATTTTACATCTCTTAATCATCATCATTATTAAAGACGTAATAATCTTAAATTTTGTGTAATAAATATAAGTAAACGAGGTACAGTGTATTATATAATATTGTATAACATTTTTATTCATTTTACATTTTTTAATTAAAAAAATTCCATATTTCTATAAAATATTGTAATTAGTTCAAATGTATAACAAATTTTTATATTTGTGCAGTATTGTAAAATATTTTATAATGCAATTACAGAGATATAATAAATATTGACTATAGTATAGAATTTAACATATAATAAGTATAAAATATAATTAACAGAAGAGTCAAATATTTATTATATCTTTACATAAATATACTTTAATATCACGATATTGTAATATCAAATTCATCCATAATATTGATATTTCAATATTATGATAACAATAAATATTATGAATGTCAATTATAAATCTAGAAACATATTGCTTATATTATGTAAAATACTAGAAAATATATAGAACTTTTTAAAATACCAAAGATCAATGTACTTTGGCATGTATTTATAGTAAATTTGTAATAACATTTACAGTTAGTTTATTTGTCAACTTTATGCTTTGACTTTATATAATATAAAATTATATATATATTACAACAGTAAGGCACCTTTGTAAGGTTTCTTAAAATTACGATGTAAGTTTAATGCTATGAAAGCTCAGTGTACTTATTATGTTAAGGAATCTTATACATATCACTTCATGTAAAAATTAAGTTATTTTGTATAGATCAATAGAACAAAACGTACGTAATTGAACGCATAAAATATACTAAATACATCTTTAACAGACTTCTAATGTAACAAAATTATATTTATACTGTAGAAATTTATACAAAAACACAGTACAATTGAAGTTGCCTATTTATACCAGTCTCTGTATAATAACATAGCTTATTAATATCAACTTAAAAGATTGCAGCTCATAAGGAGCTGTTACTGAGATGCACCGCATTTGGGACAGGTTTGTCTTTCACTGAAACATTTATTTAATACTTTAACAATATAATGTTTATTACAAATATTGTTAATTTACGGTATATTTAATTATATTATTTACCTTAGTATTTGATGGAGTTTTTTTCGAAATTCATTACATAAAGCTGTTTCAGCTGCAACTGCAGCATCTCGTTCTCTTAATTGCTGTCTTAAGTGATATATAGTATCTTCTAATGCTTCAAAAATTGCCTGTAAAAAATAAAATAATTTATTAATTTCATTCATTTATGAAATGAAAAAATGAAAAAATTGTATAGGTGGTGCTTACTCTAGATTCTTCTGCTGTATCAGATAAAGCAGGAGGTTCATCTAAACAGAAAAATTCTCTGACACATGCAGTTCCTATAAGAAGAGGACTGCTTAATATTCCATTAACAAATGCTTGCAGACCACGTATTCTTTCTTCCAAAAAGCTTGGAGCAAAATTATCACCAAGCCATTTTTTCCTTGGCAAAGTTAGTTGTGAAATTGGAATCTTCTGCCTTCTTAACTGTGATAATAAACGAACAAAATCTGTGTATCTTCTAAATACAAACCAACAGTCTCCATTTTTTAATTCTACTCGTAATTTATAAACCTAAAAAATAACATGTTGCTGTATACTATTGTACAATTGCTGTATATGAAAAAAGTGATATATAACTACAAAAAATAAAGTTTAAATTTAACTAACTGTAAACCTAGCTCTTTCTTCCATAACTTCATATCCAACAATTGGTATTCTCAGATCATCACTAGTTAATGGAGGGTGTAAAATATCTGAATTTGCATTATCATTATTTGGATAATTGAACCGTTGTACAGTAAATGAATTTGAATGGCCAGATCCATCAGAGTCTGGACTGTCCAATACTCTTACAGTGCCTGATTGAGAACCCCTTGCTTTACTAATTGCAAGTGTAACTTCACTAATACATCCCACACCAGATTCTGACGTGGACATTTTACCACCAATAAACTAAATGAAACCATGCATACTTAAAAAAAAATTGAAATCAAATTATTATAAAAGCACACAATAAAATAATGTCCATTATGGACTACATAATAAGTATTATTTATTTAATAGCATATAATAGTTCAATGATACAGTGTATAAAAAAATAAGATATACTTATATACATAAAGACATATTAATTATTAAAACATATAAGCTACTTCATAAGTACAACAAAAAACAAAAAAGAAACTGTGAAGAAAACAATGCAAATAATATTTTATAATAATTCAATATCATGATAACATGCTAATTGTGAAAAATCCAGCTTAAAATCTTAATAGTGAAATTATAATACTACTTGTTAACTAAAGGAAAACACTAACCTCAATATGAATGAACAAATATATTGTGTTATTTTATAACTTTTTTGTATCTAAACTACGTTTACAATGTAAAATCATAATTCGTAAATTTTTTATTTCACTAAAAATTTACATATTTTATAAATGTAAATTCATTTAATAAATAGGAAAGCTTGAAACTGACATGACATATTGAGAGTTTGCAAATATACCCTCTCCGCGAAATTGGAGTAACTTAGATGGTAAACTAAAATGGTAACATAGATATGTATCAGAATTTCTAATTTGCCGCCGACCAGCAAATATTTAAAACTTTGTAAACATTAATACCTAACTAAGAAGACGGAGAAATACATAAACCTACTGTATTTTCAATTTAATATGGATTTCATCTTATTAGTAGAGTTTTAATATTTTTTATTCTGCTACGATAATTAAAAGAATATTACTTTCATTAAATAATTCAAAAAATACAATTTTCAAACCTTAATTTCTTTGAAAGTTGCCAGCATTTTTATGTCACATTCAAGAGCTCAGATTGCTATTAAAATTGCATACGTGATTGAGTACGTGTTCTATAAGCTTTATATGCGTCGCTATGCGTGTACCATTGCTACGTGACATTTCTGAAATAGATAGGTTATATGTCCAATGAATTTGAGTGTAAAAAAATAAGAACCTAAAATGAGTGAAAAAAATACTAACACTACTCTAGTACGAAGAGTTAATAAATTGCTTGAATCAAGAGTAGAGCACGACAAGGTATTTATGTTATACTTTGTCGTAATTGTCAGTATTTGCATTTAATAGAAAATAAATATTTCATTTAAAATGTTTTTACTTTTTAGGATACATTGGAAGCCTTAAAAGAATTATCCACATTTTTTACAGAAAATACACTGAATTCTCGTAGAAATTTGCGCAGTAAAATAGAGAGAAGAAGTCTTGCAATAAATGAAGAATTTTTATCTGCATTTAGAGAAGTAAAATCTTCTTTAGATAACATATATCAAGATGTGTTAGCTATGAATACTGCAGTTCAATGTATGACAAATCGCTTACAAGTTACAAAGACACAAACATCACAGCTTATTGATCAGACTGCAAAGCTTCAAAATAAAAGGTAAATTTTTATTTACTTTGAAAGTGTGGTTGAAAATGGGTTAATAAAAATGGGTTATTAAAAATAAATTAATCTTTATCTTAAAAAAATCTAAAATATTTTTCATTTTTTAGTCTAACTTTATCTATGCAACAGGAAGTTGCAAATGCATTTATTAAAAATTTCCAATTGACTGCATCTGAGCAAAGTATTTTATATAGTTCTAGTAGGGAATCACCTATTACAGAAGAATTTTTTTCTGTTGTTAATCGTGTTCAGGTATAGTAATGTAAAGAAAAAAGTGAGTCACAGATGTGTTATTGATAACAACTATCTTAAATTATAGGAAATTCATAGCAGTTGTAGAGTATTAATGCAATCAGGACATCAAACATTAGGACTAGATATTATGCAAAGAATGACTTTGCTGCAAGAGGCAGCTCTTGAAAGATTATATAGATGGACACAAAATCAATGTAAACATATTGAAAATGAACGATTAGCACCATTATTAATTAAAGCAATGAATAAATTACAAGACAGACCAATTTTATTTAAGTATGTATTTAAAATCTAAGAAACAACATAATTTATATCTGTGATTTAATCTGTGTTTATTTATATTCTTTTTAGATACATTTTAGATGAATATTGTGCAGCTAGAAAAACTGCTTTAGTGACATCTTTTATGGATGCTTTAACATTGGGAGAAAGATACGGTAGTACACCTAATCCTATTGAAATGCATGCAAATGATCCCAAGAGATATGTTGGTGACATGCTTGCTTGGCTTCATCAGATTCTTCCTGTTGAAAAGGAAAATATTCTAACTTTAGTAAAAGGCTGTGATAAAGCAGGTAAAAACTAAATGATTACTTTCTTATCTTCATTTTTCTTAACTTTTATTCTATATTTTAGATGTATCAGACCAAATTAAACATTCTTTAAGTAATATCACAGAAGGACTTTGTCATCCTTTGAAATCAGGAATAGAAAACGTTATATCTGTAGATGCACCAGCAACAACATTGTATTCTATTACTACACTTCTTAGATTTTATCAAATGATAATTCAACACGTAGTACCAGGCAGTACCTTAGATTCAACATTAACAGATTTATTAACACTAAGCGAAAAAAGTTTTCTAAGTAGACTTCAAAAGGAAACGCGTATTGCACTTGGTGAACGTGCAGAACCACCAGGAAATGATTTAGTACCTGCTCCATCTGTCTCCAGACTACTGTCACTTCTTAATGAAATTCTTTCTGTAGCAAGTATCACAGAAGATAGAGAAAAAGATATGTTACAGGTTTGTGTTGCATTAATATTTAATTACTGTACAATATTAGAACATTAAATGTATGTACCAAATATTTGTTAGATCGTATCATGCATTATTGATCCATTGCTGCAAGAAGTTAATGAAACAGCATCAAGATTACCTACAGTGGACATGGCTGTATATCTTTTAAATTGTATGCATCAAATACAATCTACTTTAGCACTGTATGAATACATGGATCAGAGGTTAGAAAGATTGCAGGTAATTTATTTGTTTAAATTTAAAGTTTCTTGATATATTTCACTAATAATAAAAGAATATTTTTTAGGCACAGTCTGATGCACAAATTGACACTCTTACATCAGAACAAGCCAGTTCGTTAGTGGCACATTTAAATCTTGGTTCAATTTACACTATTTTGCAAGGTCACGAACAAGGTCCATTGTCTTCTATTCCTGGGATGGATTCTTTAAGTGTAAAAGAATTTACAGTATGTAATCATTACTTTATTATTTAGCAAAGCAGTATATAAATTTTATTCAAAGTTTTTAATGTGTTGTAGAACAAATTAGAAGCGTTTTTAGTTATGCCAGATGTATTGTTATTACCACAAATAAGTTTATTACAAAGTAGTAATCATCGGTCAGCAACACAAAATCGCTCCTTTGAAGTAATTGGAGCTATTTATAAACAATTGTACGAAGCTTGTCATGACCCAAAAAATTTATATCAAAATCCAAACAGTCTGTTTTCAAGAACACCTGAGGATCTTCTACAAACGTTAATTTCAGTTTAAATGTACATTCGAGGAACATGTTTTAAGCATAATTATATAAAAAATTCAATGTGTAAATAAGTTAATTGTAAAATAATTTTTAATAAATTTAATAACTTATATAAAGTTTCTTTTCGTTTTCAGTAAAAGTTCTTTGTTAAAAGACCAATAAAAAAACATTGGTAGATTAATCCAATATCGGTATGTCCCATTCTCTTCGAGTGCATTTTTATTATTCTTATAAGCTGTAAGTTTCCACACAGTTCCTTATTTTATTGTTCCATCGGAATTGACCAATGAGGAAAGGCTGTTTCATTGAGGTGACGTAAAAGTGATATCGTGAACGCACCTTTAGCAATAGCGATGGAAGTATAGTGCGCGCGCCTTTGGGCCACGATTGGCCCGGCACTTTCCGTCAGTCTTCAGTCTGGTGCGGTGGAATGCACTCGTGTCTGTATTTTGTTCGCGAGCCGCGCGTCTTTCATTCATATTTCTCTGTGGTAGTAACTTCTTGTCGCTTCTTATCCATAGATTTACGTTGAAACGTCTCGTGAATAGGATCGAGCAAACGTGGTAATATACGAAATGCAGACACTTCCAACCAGCTCGGTGGTGCAACGTACATTACTCGTGTAAACACAATGGACTTCGTCGTTCCATGCACAAAGGACGGATAGAAAGCAGTGAGTGAGTGAGTGGAGTATAGTGTCCAAGATGGCGGAATCAAGCTATTATCAGGTGAGTCGCAGGTCCATCCACGCTCTCTTTACGAACTGGTGCGCGTTGGTCGCCACCCGACCGATGATTCCAGCCGCCATAATAAAAGATCGCTTTGGGCGTACTTCAAATACCTTATATATTACGTCTTTCTCCTTCTCCTATGACCTTACGCCGACAACGCGCACGCACTTGTCTCTAAGTTCGAGGAATGTTTTTCAAAGACGTTGATGATCAGTGATTTCTTCGCGTATCATTTCTATCAACGCCTTCAACCTGGTTTACGTTAAACGAAGCGTGACGGACTGTACACACCTGATATCGGTGCAATATCTTTTAATGTGTTTCCAAGAACTTTCCAAACAGTTCCTGGTAGCACCTGTTTCTGTCGGCAAGTGGTATTTCCTGACATTAAGAGCATAGGTGTACAGTTCGTTTGTCAAAGCGTAGACGAATAACGGCTAAGAATGATTCTGACAGGAGCGTGATCGTATGGCAACTCCATTGTAGCGGAAATAACGTTGGCTTAACGCATCGTCACGATCAAATCCCTACATCGATGATTACCGGTTCGTCTTTCGTATCGCCGGATTCGAATTCTTTCCTGACAAACGGTTTACGATGTTGGAATTATGGGTTCGTTTCCATTGTTCGTCAAATATTTAACGAGAGGTAACCTTTTGTCGTTTCAAAGAATTTTCACCCGTTTACGATCGCACAATAACGAAATAAAACAAATTCGTTTTCTTTGATTTAATTTCCATTTTAAGCGGCGTTAATGCAGCGGTAATCATTATCATACGCGCTGATTGTCCAACTTTACTAGATATACGACACTTTCGCAATTTGCTAACAGATGCTTTGCGTTGTGCGTAACCCAAAAATAAAATGGTACACGTTGGTTAGCCTCCGCAGAGCTCTATACTAATCTCGAGTTCTATTTTCTTGTAGCGATTAATCATAATGGCATAGATGGCTATGATTAGAATTTTTGAAGGGCAGAACTTTTCCATTAACGGTATGATCTGTTACTTTCTATATTACAACCATTCGATTAAGAAGCATTTTTCATCTCTGAATATGTTAATTGTAGTCACTGTACCGACAAATTTCTACGTTTTTTTTATTATAATATGTAGTTTCCTTCTATATCAACTCACTATCTATAAAGCTGTAAATATTTTGTTCACAGGGTGTTTCTTATGTTCCTGTTATAGTAATGCTCGCAACGACTATTGACCTCACGGGATTATTATGCATGGCACACATATTACGGAATGCATGAAAATAGCTCATGCGTCAGTGTGTCAAACGCACACAGTCGAGATGCATGCGTTTGCTTAGGGGTTCGTTGCTTCTTTAAATCGTTCCACCCACTGTACGGCCCGATTTTCCTTCGCTCGTGCTGATTTTACTATTCATTATGAAAACCGAGATCCCGTCCGATTCCCGGGCTACAACGTGTTCCTATATTACGAAGGAAAACCTTGGACACTGTCTCGATTGTCAATCGCAAGTCCCACGCTTCCCTAGCTCCGCCAAAGAAAGTAACATTAACTGCACCGAGTGGCGGGAATTTTAAAAAGAGTTTCAGAATAACGCAATTAACGCAGAGTGTAATCTCGATTGTTCGAATGAACAACAGCGGGAATAGTAATCGCGCACCATCTCCAAGCGGAATGCATAAACATACACTATTTCTGGAATCCCCTGTCGCCAAAGTTCCGAACTTAAGCAACCTGTAGGTGTGTCAGTCTCGCGCACGAACGGCTACAAGAATAGGATATTTCTGACTCATATTGTTTGCAGTAAAGAGTACAGGAATTTTTGTCGCTCTGATTTTAACCATTGCAATTTTATACATATAGCTCGCGTTACGGGCACTTTTAAATTCAAACGCAGTTGCATTCGATTGGAATATAATTAAATCTGCATTAAGGTAAAGCGATAAACATTATTACTCATGATAGTCGCGGCGTTTTTGCCATTGAGAGTCGCTGTTATCGCAATGCGGGTGATAAGAGATAAAACATCGGCAAAGTCTTTTAGTCAGTCTATAGAAATCATCAAATCGGTCACGCAGATATTCTACTCTGTTGTTCCGTAGAGGTCCGCACGCATCGCCGGCCGCAGATCTATGGGAATCGAACAAGTAGCGATATCTACCGGCAGAAAGTTGGCGAATTCGTGAAGTTGCACCGACAAAGTTCGTCGCATAGACAAAAACGTTCGTAAAATTGTGGATTGCTGCAACAGGTGGTCGGGGAGCGAAGTTTAGATTGTGACCGAGCGCGTTACCAACGAGCATCGTCACACGTTCGGAATTGATCGTGTTAAATTTGATTTATTCGTTTCGATTTGCCAATTGCGACAGTCGTTTACATTTCCGACGAGCCGAGAAGAATTACCAATACGTTATCAGTGTGGACGCGAGTGCAATGTCAACGTGAATCGGTTACAGTTTCACGTCCAGTGACGCGTATATATCTAGTTCTGAAAACGAAAGAGAAATTTCGACCCGTTATTTATAAGGTTGGATGGGAAAGTTGAACAATGTCGTTTATTCCTGTAAGCGAGGAGAGCAAGAAACCGAATACGTGCCGGTGTTTATCGATGACAAAACGGGCTAAACCCAAACACATTTGGAGCCATGTTGCATCGTACGCGGTACATATCTTTTAACATTTTTACCATTTTTATACGATACACCTACGTAAGTCGAACATAAATGTCTAACACGTGCCATTGATAAATCAGGCGACTTCATTGTAGATACATCGAGCCCGATGCTATGTCAATATTTATTTCAAATAAATTCCGTTCGTGTACGGTGTAAATAACGTTGAACATCAAGGAACAACGATAGGCACGGCTGCTTCGGGCATTTTTCGCTAAGCGTGTTAATAATTTATTCGCGGACATAGATATACGAGAAGCTGAGATAACACGATGGCGCCACTAAATTGATCGAGCATCGTTATCAGGGTCACTAGCGGTCCGAATAATTTCAAAATAAACTGGACGATCAATTAGTCGCTCGTTGTCGGATATAGAGGATTACCGATACCGGGAACGATACTTATTTTAGGATCGATATTTCCCGCGACCCGGTACGAGTTTGCAATTCTGGTTTAAACGGGTAGACAGTGGTGTGCACATCCGCCGCACTGCGCCAGACAATTTCCGGCGGCGCGAGTGGCGTATTATGTTCCGCGATGTTTTTCTCCGCGAACTCACAATCCCGGCCATCGTTCATCTTCGACGTTCCCGGAAAAATATAAATGTCACTGCCAGGATTATGCGGCGTCGAAATAGAAACAAACGTAGGACGACGTCGAATGTAAATAGGTGACTATTACCGGCGCGCTAACAGCCAGGCAAATTTATCCTCGTGAAATTGTACGGTAATTTGTGCTTTATTGATCCGTATAAAAAAGAGCGACATTAAACGTTCCATTTTTAAATATTACGCGCCCACGATCGAGATACTATACCTTCGCCCGATACACACCGATCAGTTCGTTTGGGAACGTTGGGTTAATCTTTGTAATTTATCGTTTCTTCTCTCCTCTTTCGATTTTCATACCTCACCGTGCTATCGTCAGAGGGGGAGAGAGAAAGAAAGAGCGAGGTAGAAGGAGAAAGAGAGAAACAAAGAAACAAAGAAACAAAGAGATAGAAAGGTCACACCGTTCGAATAATCGAATTTGGAATCTGTTCCAGGGCGATTACATCAGGCACCCGGTGTACGAACTGTCGAGCAAGTATGGAGTGGCTAGCAGTGACCAGGTGCCCTTGCCGACTCGTCTCGACGAGCTCCGGGAGCACATACGCCGAGAAATACGCAAGGTATGTCGAGTTTCGCTTATCCTTCTCGGCTCTACACCTCTTCCCCGAAGCTCTCTTTTTCGCCGCGCGCCGCAATATACACGGTAGCGCGGCTCGCACGAGCACGATCCCTCGCACGGCGGAGAAGAGTATCCTTTTCTCCGCGCTTCCTCCCCTCCCTCCGTAACGTGCATCCTCCCCGTCGTTGCACCTATCTCCTTTTTCGTTGCTGCACAGGGAGGAACAGAGAAATCCGATATGTGTCAGGCCACCGTCGATCCGTGGCACGCCCGTTGAAAACCGGCACGATCCACGTGACTAATGGATCCGGGCCAGAATTTATGGTTATTTCCAGGAGGGAAGAAAAAAGGGAGAAAATGAAAAAAGAGTGGTACACTTTCTTCCTCTCTTTCGCGGGCCAGCAATGAGATAAGAAATTACGGGCCGCGTAAGCCGCGATCCGTATAGAACGGCCGCTACCTTTTTAACCGGTTAGGTTGCCGATCGTAAATCAATAACGAGTCATTCCGATACTTTGCCGTGACTGGAAGTGCCATCAGACTGTCCGTCGAGGTTATCGCGCGCGCGATAATTCGAACGCGGGAAAATACGAACGCGTATTCGCCGGTGGAGCGTTAGTAGCGGATTTATCGTCGGCGTTTGGGCGTAGAGTGCTGCAACGAGGTTAGAAATTGGACGGTGGGAACTGCCAAGATGGCTAACGTCGATCCTAACTTTTCCCTCGCATTGTTCCGAGGCCTTTTTTTTTCCTAGACGCGTACGGATCTCGCGATTTGGGCATCACACGCTTCGAGGGAACCGTAATAAAAATGCACGATCGATATCGGTGCAATCGAGGTTGCACCGCGCGCTATATTTACGTAACGCTCCGCGCGGTGGTAGCTTAAGTGCGTTTAAAGCGTACGCAAGCAGCCATAAATCATATTAGGCGAAGTAAGTAAAACATTTCGCGGAACAGTCTCTCTCGCCTTCCACGGGGAAGGTAATCGTTTCATTAAATGCCGCTCGCAAATATTATTCACGGGTCAGTCGTGATTAGAAGATATAGCCCCTGTCAGGTGTGCTCGCCGGGGAAAAGTTATAGCGAATATAATAGGAGGTAATAGAATGAAAGGATAGCCCCGTGGCATGAGGCCGAGTATAATTTTACGTCTCATTTGCCTCGGGAGAGGAGTGGTCTCGGAGCTAGTGGACGCGCTCTAACGATTGATAGATCGATAATAACGATCGTGCCCGAATGAATTCCGTCGAGCGAAATTCCGTCTCCCGTGTGGCTCGTGTTCCATCGAACGATGTGGCGGATACGTTTTATTCCCGACGTAGCCGTGTATAACACAAAAGGCTCGCCATAAAACGAACAAGGAACGTACGTTCGCTGTTTGGTTGCAGGAGCTGAAGATAAAGGCTGGCGCCGAGAAGCTGAGGGAAGTGGCGACCGATCGTAAAGCGCTCTCCGACGTGGCGACGATCGTGAAAAAGTCGAATAGTAAGCTGAGCGAACTGCAGGCCGAGCTTCAGCAACTGGAGAGTCAAATTATATTGACGCAGGGCCAGCCACAATCGCCCCAGCAAAATCACTCGAACGGTCAAGGTAAGGCAAAGAGTCGCACGGCCGGCCAGCAGATACCATCTTTGTATTCGCCTTAACGCTGCATGGCATTGACCGAGAGGATAAGGCAGACTCATGCGCGCCTAAACGGGTTTTATGTAATGCCGCGTGTTAGACTTCGTGCCGATCAATTACCGCTTCGGCCTGGCGCGCGGTTCGTGCGCGCGCGAATACGCTCCGGTCCGAACCATCGATACCGCATAAACGAGTTCAAGGATTTTTTTCCAAGCGACCGTGCGAAATCGGGATTCGTCGTTGCTTCGATGCCTCACGGCACCATCCAACGATTCGCGAATCGCGAATCGCGAATCGCGGTGAACGGGGGAACGAACGGGGTCCGTGATAAATATCCAACGTTTAGATCATAATTGCGTAATTATCGGTGCAAAGTAGCCAAGTTAAATGCACGGTAACGATTTTGTCTCGCGTTTATTTTTATGTTAGCTCGTAAAACTGAGTCGCCAACGACCACGGCCTCCCTTTTCGACATATCAATTAATGTTTCTGCTTATTCACGGTTAACTTATCGATACATCGGACTAATGGCGAGTGTTCCGGTATGTTCCCTCCTGCCACGCTAACGACTGCTCTCTCTGTGTCGTTAACGAGCAGCCACTTAATAACTCCACCCGCTAACGAGCCGTCGAGACGACGTCTTCGGTTTATAAAGCTCAACCGTGCATGCGAGCTACTGCTTTATTACGGCATCGGGCCTGGCAAATCGAGCATGTCCAGCTCTTCGCAGCCATAACCGTTTTGCTCGGCGATCTCGTTGCATCGACGACTCCGCCGATCGGTGTCTCGATAAAAGCTCGTTGAAAAATCCTCCATGCCTCTGGTGTTTCTCTCCCCGTTCTCGCTCGCTTTTTAATCTCCTATACCGACTCGCTTTCCGATCTTGGCCCGATATATATCTGCACCGCGGATAAAATCCAATTTGCCTGCTTCACGCGTGATTTGCTTGTTTACGCAGAGTGAGTCATGCTGGACTTTGGAACGGATTAACGTCTCGGATTTTTCGAGAGTGCTTAACGGTTCGATCGCTGCACGGGACACGCGGGTACACACGCCTGCAGTCGCAACGATACGTTATTCCGGAAACGGTACTCTCCTGGCATTTCCAGTCAGCGTGGCTGGTCATTTCCCTCGGTTAGAATACTCCGGTCATACGCTAGCTGTGCAGTCGTTGGACATAAATTAGGAACGATTAACTCCGATCCTCGTAATCAGGGGTCATGGTACTCTGAATAGTCACGGGCGTAGCGTCGAATTTCGCTCGCGTATCGCGCGATCGCGATCGATGTATCTACGCTTTATCTTCTATCGCGATTCAATAAATTCCTTCGTTTCTCGGAAAATCAGCCTTTACGGCTATCCGATACGACACGAGCCACCATGTTCTTTCCAGTTTCGATTCGCTCGATTCGTTTCCGTAGATTTAATTTCCCCGAGAAATCGTAGATTTGCGTCAGAGAGAAAAAAGATTTTCTTTTTCTATCGACCGAATTAAATCCGTGACATTCGATACTTTAACGATCCGCAACGAGCCTCTGTCTAGATGAAACGTGGATTTTCGTTTTTACTCTTTGTCGAGGACAAGCTGACCCCACCCTGGCGAGTTACGTAACGAGCATTTCACCCCGCTTGTCAAGGGTTAAAGTGAACGGTACGAGACGGTACCGGCACGTTCTCGAAATTGGTACTTCTCTCCAATCCGTCGACCTTGAAAGACTAGTTACGCCACTGGGTGGCACTTAGCTATCGGTGCCGCTTCGTGACGCGCCCGAGGCTTTCGTACTCGCTCGCGACTAGCGAGCAGCTCGAGTCTTGTGTTCTCTTTGAATTGACGGTAAGTGGTAGCATCTATTTATACACCGTGGACCCAGACGCTCTATCCACTCCAGTTAAGTCAGTCATCATACATTCTGGGGACTAGCAACCTGCCTTCGGGCCACCTCATTCAGCTCCCTCTGCGACGGGTTATGCCATTCAGAGCGGTCCTAACAATGCAACAACAACCACCGCTAGGCTTCCTGTATCGTTACCTAGAGAAATAACTGGTTTAGATCCCGCAGCTTCTCCTTAAAACGGACCCTTATTATGCGGCCAATTATACGGCCACTTCATCGCATTATACGTGTTTTATACTTTTAACGCTTCAGGGTGGCGTTAATTATGGCGCATAAAAATGCTTTCGGTCCTTAGAGTACGCGATACGCCGTGCTCCGAGGAAGTCTAGGCTTCTAACGATCTATCATCACGACGAGCTCGCTACCGCTCATTTTTTCCTTCGTACATCGGACGATTCTCGAACGCTGACCCCTCTTTTATAGTAATCACGACGTAATTATAAAGGTTAAACGTTTGCAAAAGAACGCTTCGACATGGATCATTTCATAAACCATATCCGTGATGTTTTTCCGAGCCACGTCAAAGACGTCGGTATTCACTTGCCTTTTTCTCTCATACCACCCACCACCACCACCACCACCGTCGTCGTCTCCATTACCAATAACAACGGGAGCATACGAGCTTAGAATAAGATATCGCGGATGAGACGGTGCCACGGATTCAGGAGAAAGTACATATTCCCTCCTTTCCTCCGGCGAGTGGACGCCGCGAGGGAAGCAACGTAACGAGCACCAGGGCTCTCTCGTTCACTTTCCAGTTCTTCGAGTTCTGGCTGCGTGCGTGTAACGCGCGCGCTCTCCTCGCGGGAGACAGTGAAAACGTTCTTACACGGTACACGTACACATAGACGCGTGCGTGTACACGCGATACATCGAACGGACGTATTACGAGAGGCGATCGGTGGAGCGATCGCTCGCGCGGAGTACCGTTGCGCGCTCGCGCGCGTATTTAGCCCGCGGCCGCTGCCCGCTTCGATGTGGATCGAGATCGCGTTTCAGCCGAACCGAAGCGAACCCACGCTTTCGCATTCCACGCTGTCGTGTATCAAGAGGGCCCTCGGGCCCTCGCCCGGCCCCCTCGCCCCCTTTTAGGGACTACCTGCTTCCTCCGGACCCTCTTCGGAGCAGCGCGTTCCACGCGAAATCGCGCGACACTTGGCGGCGGAACGAGCTTAGAAACTCGACGATCCAGGGGCGGATAATAGAGATATCGCGACACGCATGAATTGTACCAGGCTATGTATGTCGGTCCTCCCCCTACTCGGAAATTACGATCGTTTCATCGTGTTCAGCGTGTATTTATCGAAATGACGGCCAATTCAGCGGGTTGCTTTCCTCCTGCGCGCCATCATAGCTCACGGGTTGCCCTCGTACTCGAGGACAAACGCAGCTTTTCGATCGATCGTTCCATGCGATCGTTGTACACACGGACGAAATGGCAGATCAAGGCCTGTTTTACGCGATATAAATGCACGGGGCCGCAATTTGTAGCGTGAGAAGTAATTGGCGGCACGATTCCGTGGCGGAGTTTGTAAATTTCACTCGCCGGATCATTGTTACCGATCGTGGCCGAGATATATCGGTATCGGTATGTAAAATAACGGCGTGTAAAAGGTTGTCGTTTTATCGTTGTAACTGTACGCCTCTTTCTTGCCGGCCGTTATCGTTTCTCGCGCGACATTTGCTCGGGTGGCGCGAACCGCTTCTAAATAAACGGCACGCATTACATAATTCCCGCGTTCCGTAACGCAAATCACGTTGCCCCGTACACGCACCGAGCGTCCCGGATCCCGGATCATCTCGATGACGTTGCCCCGGTCGCCGCTACGTGAATCACCGATCCGTTAGGGAAAAATTTTCTCTCTCTTTCTCTTTCTCTCACTCTCTCCCTCTTTTTCTCGCGAGAACTTCGTAGATGTTCGCGAAAAATCCGTACACGTAAAGCCGCACGCTCTGTTATCCTTTCACCGGGTGGCCTGTAAACCCAGAGCAGTGCGAACTTTATTGCATACAGAGTCGGTTTTACGCGCGTTCTTCGTACCCGAGCGTTTGCGTTTACCGGCGTAACATCATCCTATTTTTGTCCCGCGTCTCGACTTCGTACGTATTCCGGAAGTTACGCAATTTTTCCACGGCAAAGGAGCTGCAGGGGATAGCCCGTAAACGACGATGTTCGTCCACGCGTGAAATCTACGCGAAATCCACGCGAAATCTGCGTGCAAATTATCGGTAGCCAAGTCCGACCGGTATCGCCGATCTCTCGGTCGAGTTCTCGATTTTCCGGCAATACGAGTGATTTAAAGGTTCGGGCATTCCCGGTAGGCGCGTGTCGTCATTGCGTGATACGATAAAAATCGAGGATCGATAAAGCTTCGTGAGTCACGAGTTACAAAAGTCGCGCAACGCGTCGACGTTGTATCGAGTCGGTATCGGCATACGTGCTCGAATGAATCGCTCCCGTGCGATTATGGGTCGCGTCTGACGCCCACGGTCGTTGAATGAGAGAAAACGGACCATAGATTTGACTGATACGGCTCTCTTGTTCCATCGAGCTTTATCAGGAGCCCCCCCTGGTGAAACTATTTTACAACGCTTTCCACAGTTCCGCGGAACGGCACAGGCGTAATAATTTACAAGAGCCGGGGCGAACGTTATAGGACTACCGCTTTCCTGCGATCGTAAACTCGTCAAGGAAATCACTCGCATTCGCGAATAATCGTGGCGATTTATATCGGCTAATTGACGGCTTGCATAGGACATTACTGGGCCCGGAACGGTGGCCGCGGGACGCTTTTTAAACGCAAGCATTTTTCTGAAAACCGGTCGCGTAATTTTCTCGTTGGATGCAAACGGTAGCCCCTATGCTAATAATTTAAATGCTACGCTACAGTTAAACGCTCGCGGTTATCCTGCCTAGGTTTACCGAGATCTCCCGTTCGTTTCGAGTCACCGTTTCCCCCTCGTGGTGGTTACCGTGCCGTGAAAAAGATTACGCACTTTTCCAATTATCCACCGCCGACGAGGCGAAGATCGATCGTTTCCCCGTTCGTCCATCTTTGAACGAAGCGTTCGCGTATTCCCAGAACCGAGAACTCTTTCCATCGAGCGTGCCAGCGCGCGATGGTTGAGCAACGTTTAGGCCAATTAATAACGTATTCTATCGCAAGGCTCGCGACCGGTTGACGCAAGTGATTGTTACGCGACAGGATAACCGGCAACACGCGCGCGTGTCTATCGATTTCGTGCTCTTTACACCGGCCGGCAAGTTCACGCTTAACTTCTAGCCGCACGCTAATTATTTTAATCAGTCCCGTAATAAGGATGTTGCAAACCGCACTCCATCCCCTTTTACGATCCGCTGGAACACAATTACTCCTTACGTATATATTAATATATGCCGTAGGAAGTCTGAGGCCCCCCCAGGTTACGGTTTATGAACGCGCGTCTGTGTGAATCGCGCGGATACGTGGAAAGAGCGGCGCGGTACGCACGTTGCGAGCGAAATCATGAATGGGCGACGCGCGGAGAGTCGCTCGAGTGCGCGAGCGTACAGAGAGGAAATCGCGTTGCTGCCTGGATCGCGTCGAGGTCTCGAAGGATTAAAATTTCTAATTTCGCCTCGAGCCTACCTATTTTTATTTTTTTTACCGCATCCTATATGATTTCTCTCTAATTACCGAGCATTTTTGCTCGTTACTTTTAATGCACTCTTAAATGATTCCTCCCCTCTACGACCGCGGCCGAGTAAAACGCGGCTTGTGCAACTCGACGTGTTTCCAGCGTAAGAGCGCACACGAGCGCGCGCCCGTTGTTACGTTAAGTCGAGAGAAGACCGGCGTCGTGCGTTCAGCGTCGACTCGCTGTGAGAAAGGAAAATATAATTCTTTCAAGGCGGCACACACGGTTGAGTAGCGAGTTTCACGCGATGCTCTTGTCCCTGACGGGAGATGACGCGTCCTTTGGATCCGTGCAGGCAAATTATTCACACTCGAGGAGACGCGGTAATGCGCCAGCGTCTTTCTGCAATCGCGCACAGAAGGGTTGCACGCGTTTGCACCCCGGCTCGTCGAGCCGGTGAAAAAGACAGTGGCGACCGGTGCAAATGGTGGAGAAAAAGCAAGGCTCATCTCGCATGCTTCGTTTCCGAAAGTTACGCGTGGTACGAGTGCGTCAATAATTCCATTCATTGTCCCCGTGTTCGGAGATCGAAAAGGATGGAACAGCCGCGGTGCGTGCGGAGTTTTGTAGTATGGAAACAAGGAAAGCCTTTGTCGTCGCCCCTCGGTTGCAGAAACCGAGTATAATGGGGCACGTGTTCTGGTACCGCGCTAATGACATGGTTTCGCGTACTCTTCGGTGCAGCATTGTTCGAGGACCTCTCTTCCACTGTTTCGCCTTCCACCTTCTATTACGAATTATTCATTCTGTCCCCTCGTTTTCGGCACACTTCTCGGTACCATCCGCATCCTCTTCTCTATTTTTATTCCCCCCTTTTCCACTTCACCAGCGTCTCATCAACGAGTCCTTTCGGGAGGTACTTGCTACGTACACTTTAACCCTTCCATTGTTCTGTCCGTGCGTCGTACGCTTAAGGATCCCACTCGGATTATCCGACATCTCGCTATTTTGCTGCTGCGACGTAATATCGTATCTTCGTCAGTGATGTAAGAATACGTGTTTCTTTATGCATCTTATTATTAATTCGACTATATCGAGTCAGGAGCAAAATTAGAACATTTTTATGACGATGTACTTCAATTTTATTAAAGGACAAATGAGTTCGTGATGCGTATCGTATCGAATATCGAAACGCGGATTACCTTGTTTGGTCTAGAAATCGGAATTAGAAACAAGCGGATTAAAACGGCGATACCTTCGCATATATTTCACCGACCGACACCCCCTTTGCGAGTACCTCTTCCTTCCGCTGTACCCTTTCTTCGTTTCCCGTGGAACAAGGCGTACGATGGAATCGGTCGAGCCGAACCGATTCTCAGGCGACGCTACTCTCGTATGCATTCCCATGGTCGATATCCTCCTTATTTTCCTCCCTCTCTTTTTCTCTCTCTCTCTCTCTCTCTGTCTCGCACCGCGGCTCGCCTTATTCGGACATGTCAAGCTAAGCGCGTGCACCGACGGTGCAAGTGCGCTTGTCGCGGTGCATAGGCGTCGTGTGTGCGTTTACGTGCCTCTTTGTCGGCGGTGGGCACGTTTCTGCACGTCGTTACCGTTGTTTCCCGTGCAGCCGGCTAAATCCGCGGGCTCGCTCCCGCTTAATATCGATGGTAAATCCTCTGCTGCCGAGGCCTTCACGCTTCGACGGGCTCGAAAGAAATTTCGTCGGTTCGGACGCGATGGAAATATTCGCGTGGTCTCGCTCGACCGTGGTGATCCTTTGAATAAACACGAGCCCGCGCGCGCCATTCGGAGCAGCAGCAGCAGCAGCAACAGAAACGGAGGAATTGGTCGAACGTGTAAACAAGCCATCGACGTTCGCTGAACGCTTGGAGCACAGGAAACTGCGTTCGCGTCACGGAAACATGGCCGCGTGTATCGCGACCGTGTCTCCGTGATTCGAGAAGAAGTCGAAGGGAAAAAATGTATCAGGGCGTGTCCGGCATATTAAAACGAGTGTACGCGTACGTTTCGCAAACGCTGTCGATATAATTACGCAAGCGGAATTGATCACTGTAATTGTTCGAGGTTCCGGCCGGCCCGGAAACGCCGCTTATAATTCTGACACTCGTTTTTCACCGCGTTTCCGCGCTCGCCACGCCGCGATCTACTTTTACGTCCTTACGCAACGAGCGACCGTGCAAGTTTATTCGGATGAAATTAAATATGTTATAAATGTCCACGATCATCGACGAAAATTCATATCAACGATAAATTTGCCGGCAAATTTGTTCAATTTATATCCATCGTGTACGCTTTAACGGCACGCCGATTACTTTTTCATGCAAATGGGACAGCCTATGATTTCACAGTGCACGACCTTGATTTACGCCCGTTTAATTGCGCCATAAAGGATAGTCGCTGAATCTTGGCCTGGTGCACAGACGCCGGGATTTGCCATCGGAGGTCGCATTCGCGTCTAAAGTTCCGCGCTGATTTTCATACCGACTTTTCCAACATGCACGCCTCGTGATTTACGTAAATCGTCCAATTACGCGTTTCCCATTTTGCATTCGTGTTTCGCTTTGCTTCGAGCGGCGCGCAAGATGGCCGATCACGAGCAACTATTAATTTCGCGATTTCGATAAGAACCATGGCGATTACCGTGCCCCGTAAAGGTTTTCATTTTATGGTCGACGGGACGTTTACAGCGTCGGATGGCGTCTCCGGGATTCAGTGCCAGTGAAAACCGGCGATGGGAAATTGGCCAGCAACCGTGTGCGGTTGGCTCGCGTGTATGCGTGAAACAAAGAAGAGTAGCACTTTTTCTACGCTCGCATTGTGCTTGGGAGTGTGCATTAAATACGTGGGAGTCCTTAGACCGCCTCGGAGATATCTCTAGTGGGTTACAGGAAGTGGGATTCGAGTACCTTGCGATTTCACTATTGGACACTCGAGGCTCTTGGCTAAGATGTAACGAGATGTACCGGCGCGAACCGTACGCCCACGCCGAGCCTTGTTTTAATCAAATATTCTTCTCGCCGATTTATTATAGTCTTAATGGGGACACCTTGGCAACTTTCGAGAATCTCCGGAGTCGAGGGCGCCAGGCGCGGTATCGCTCGTTAATTGCTTCTTAATCGTAATCGCAAACGATAGACGAGATAGAGTGGAAGGTGTTACAGTTCTCTAGTGCCGATTAATCGCGAATTTTACATTTTCTATAATCGTGGCAACTTTGAGTGGATGAAGAAGGGAGCTTTTTATTTTCAACGCCTATTTTCGTTTCAGACACGCCTCTGTCACCAATGGGGCCGTCGTCGCCGAGTCAGGAGGGTCTATTCACGGATCTTCGTCTTTTGTCCTTGGAGAAGCAGCTCAATATCGAACTCAAGGTACACGTCGTTGAAGAAAAGGAGACAAATGAAAACGAAAAAGTGTGGCACGAGTTGCATGAAAATCGATCGATATTATTGCTCGATCGATTAGAAAAGAAATTCATTTTTTCGCAATTAAAATTATGCAGCGAGTATCAGTTCCTTGGCGTTTTTCAGTATAAAATTGTCAATGTCACTTTGACAAGATCACTTTCGAAAACGTAAGGAAGTTAGCCTAATATTAGTATCATTGCAATGTTTGTAAAATACTATGATACCGGCTGGTATCTCAACGAGTATATCTTAATGTTGCGCGTAACGACGGTCGTACTATTCCTATCGTAATCAGCTTGCAGGAGAGTGATTACAGGAGAGACAGTGACAGTTCTAGCCCATTCTCATTCTGTGAGTCAGCAGTGAATCGTCGGCATTTTTTCTCCACTAAAGATAGCTTCTGTATTTCGTCATATGGTGATTTACATTCGTCGGAGTAGCGAGATTTCGACTCGCTTCGTAATTTTATTTGCACTCGTAACATCTACCCGCTCGAGGGAACTTAAACGCGAGCATTGTTGTTGTTTCACGGGCGATCGATAGATTTCGTTGCCTCGATCTCTAACCGCGCTACCAATTTGGAAATTTAAAAAAAGAAAGGAACGAAGACTATTCTAGATAATGTCACGGAGAAACCGAAAAAATGTACGTCATCGATACTGGCCTTTCGCCAATCGTAGAATGTCAACGAATTTTCAATGTCTGCGGCGATATATGTGCTTGCGAAATCGTATCCCTACGTCATATTACGCGATCCGTTTCAGAGTATAATAGGCTTAACTATCGAGCTGGTGAATACTTACAATGTTTAGAAAACGCGTAGTCGCTTATCAGACCTTGCCAAGAGAGCAGCAACGATGCCGAAATTCTTCTTCTTCAAAAAGGTGAACATTCGAGCGTGACTTTCCCGAAGATCCCATCGGACTTGAGCTTTATTTAACGATCGTAAATTATAGTCGATGAATCGAACCTTTTTGTAACGCCATACTGATTCGGTTCCTTTGTCGATATTTCAGGTGAAACAGGGGGCGGAGAACATGATCCAGAGTTTGACGGGTGGCAGAGATAAAAAGTTACTACAGGAGGCTCAACAGATGCTCGACGATTCTCGCGCCAAAATCGAGTTCCTACGCATGCGAATAATGAAGGTGCGACAAGCTCGTCAGCAACAACACGCACGCGGCGATGCACCACCGCCGAATGGCGAGGCAACTAGCAATAAAGGTACCAAATTCACCGTACCGATCTTCGATTCCGTGTTCGAACAGCGATAAGAATCTTAATCGGAGCAGATAGAAAATTAGTCAACCAAAGGACGTAATTATTGGCAATTAACGTTCATCATATCGCGTATTCATTCAGGATACGCTGCCGTGACTCACGATGAAGTATAGTTACACGCATTACGTGGTTGGATCATGGTAACTGCTAAAATATAGGCCACAGTCCGTCCATGAAATACGATAGTAATTTAGTGGATGTAACGACGGATGTCGGTCGAAATGGTAGGTCTCTCACGGCTAAAAGGGAATTTTCGTTTGCCAAGCTCGGAATCTTCGCGAGTGTTATTACTTTATGCGTTAATAATTTTCCACTTAATGTTTACAGCCTTAAGGTTACCGGCGTGATAATGAACAGCATAGACCTCGTGATTATATTGGGATTTCGCATCATTGTACTTCCCAGAGTGCCTCTGATCGCCTGCGGCCATCATTACCGCGAAGTACCATTGTAAATAAAAGCCATAGCGATGCTTGCGATGGTCCAAGGCTTTAATATTGTATTTTATTCGATTACCCGCGTATATATATGTATATACATTGGAGTTGCGAGACACGTGCACTATGTATACGTTATGTAGCTATGTAACCTTTATCCTTTTAATTCGAAAAATCCATCGTTATCGTTGTTTCGTTCGATTTGCTTGGCTGTGAAAAGAACGTCATGTATATACGTATATATCGATGCCACCCAGAGGACACTGGCATTCTCGCGTGACGCAAAAACAATCTCGCTTTCGGTGTAGATATCAGGCCATCGTAGTCGTGTTTAACCAAGTCATCCGTTCAGGATTGGAAATTCACTCACACCTCCACGTGTTTTCAATTTCTTTGTCCTACGAGGAGGGATAGCTATTCGAACGGACATAAAACGCTATTCGAATCGTGTATGAATCGCAATTGTTGTCGTTTAACTAGACTCTTAGATAGACGGTATATTCGGAGTGTGATCGATAACGTCGAACATTCTAATTACAGATAGGTACGAGCCTAGCTTGGAGCTGGCGCTGGAAGAAAGGGTAGAGGAGCTACGACATCGTTTACGGATCGAAGCTGCGGTGGTGGAAGGGGCTAAGAACGTGATACGTCTTTTACAAAGTGCCAAAGTCGCCGATAAGAAGGCCTTAACGGAGGTACGTATCATTTCCTGTTCAATACACGCGGTGATACGGTACGCCATGTAAGGACTGACGTTCGCGTAATGAAAAGCTTTTGTACAATCGTGGTGAGATGCGTCGTCGAAAGGGAACTATTGACACTGTACCCTAGCTGACAGACACGTTGTCCTTTCAAAGCTACCGTATCATTGTACAGCTTTCATGCTTGTCCTTTGCGCGATGAATATTTATTAACGTCGCTTTCCATCGGCAAAATCTCGTTCAAAGTCGGAGACCGCAGTGTCTCGGTTTGGTCTCGATAAGTATATATCTCGCTTGCGTGACGTAAGCACCATCGTATCGCGTGGTCGACGTAAATCGAAACGAGTGAGCCCGTTACAACCGAATTCGCCGTGTAGATTAACGATTTTCCGTGTATCCAAGTCGCACGAACGCGTTCGACGTAGACGACTACGTCGGGTTCGGAACGGCAGTGGCGTATACGCACCGGTCTCGAAATAGCACTGCCTAATCCCCGCTACCCCGTCGTCTTCTATGACGCCTTTTCGGGTCGCGCTTAGTTACCACCTCTCGAGGGGAGCTGGCACAACCCAGTCGTAAGCAACGCGATAAACCAACGACATGTGCGCCAATCAACCGCGAACCGACTGCTCAACAAATGTCCACTGCTCGGACATTCCTGGAGATATTCGCAGCCGTGGATAATTCGCACCGCCATCGCTCACAAGTATGACCTGAATCTCAAGACTGACTCGATTCCGCCCAGAGTCGTACTCCCGTTGGACGTCGCACTCTCTTCTGCACACCCCATCTGCTACACTCCAAGAAGACTGACGTGTCTGTTACGCGAGTACCGTCGCGGCTAACGAGATATGCACCTGTGGATGCAAGAAGCGATCGAAGTTTAAAAAGCTCAAGAAACGAGTTCCTAGTCGTCCCTAGTACGCACCGTCCCTTCCTGGTGGTTTTTCGAACGTCGAGCTTTTCCGTGAAGCACGTTGAATTCCAAGACGGAAGCAGACTGACAGAAATAGAGGATGTTGCACGCTGAATAATTATACGTTTGTGGAGGCGAGAACGCCCGACCCAGAGGCGATGTAGAAGTTACTTCGATCGAGACCGTTTCGCCGCTCGAGGAATAACATTAAGACAGATGGAAACGTGCATTTATTCAGACTGGCTAACCGGATAGTATTATTAATTTTCTCCCCCTTTTTTTTTTTCTTTTTTTTTTCTCCTCTCTCTCTCTCGCTCGAAGGAAATTGACATTCGACGTGGGTGACGTATCCGTCAGTAGGAACGACTTAATCGTGTCCGGCGAACGGTGCCGTATTAAAAGTATCATCTGGTTCCAGGTATATTTGGTCCGACTGTACGTTGCTCCAAATTTATATTGTGCTAATTATACCATGCGACGCTGCTCTAACGTATGGCTTGTCACCTTACGAGAAACGAGCAAACGATGGTAACTGAACTCGATATACGAAATTCACTTATGCACGGTAATAAACGTAAATTCGAGTAGAACAACGTGTTCACGCGATAGCGCGGTAGCAGGATCGGTTGCATCGATCCTTTTTTAACGATGTTTGAAAGGAAAGATTGAATTTCACGGGAAAATTAGACTGCAACGATTCGGGGAAGGTTTCTTTGTACAAGGGAGACCGTTTTACAATTTCGATACGTAATAATATCGAAACGATACAAGGGATTCCGAAATCGCTTGAATACAGTAACACTGATTCTGAAAATAGACCACGGAGACGCAGTATCGCAGAATTGCCGTCTTTCCGCGAAGAACTATGTAATATATGTACGGTTTTGTGAAATACTCTGAAAATACTTTCGTTCGCTTCGAGGGTGTTTAATGAATTTTTACAACAATTACGTAACGAGCTGTGCCTCGTAGGACGGATCGTTAAACGATCGAGATTGCTGAAATCCAGCGAAAAATAAAGAACAACGAGCGAAGGGAAAGAAATAGCCGCGCGGTGCTTCCATCTTTCGCGAAACCGATCGACCTTTCGAATCGATGTGCAACGGAACGACACTAGCGAAAGAACGTCGGATTCTCTTCGCAAGGGAGGAGGGAAACGGTTGCGCGAATGCGTCTTTGCAGCGAAACCGATTAAACGCTCGGGGCGATGATGTTTTGCGGTGGATAACAGCGTGGAGAAGGCTGAAAAAAAAGGTACGACATGTACGGGCGTCAAGGCAACTCGAGTAACACGCAACCACCGCCGTGGTTGGTGCGTGCAGAAGTCACGATTCGTCACAGTACACCGGTGACCTCGGAGTCCAGCCAGGTACCGATAGGTATGTCTTCAACTGTTACGGATTCGGGAGGCGTTCGGATGGTATATCGATGGAACACCAGTCAGCCATCTCCGTCCCCGACAGTTCCAGTCGTTACGACTTCCTGTCCATCTTCGTCCGCTGGCTCGTTCGGTTTCCAACGTGGAAACATACTGTTCACCTCCACTCCGCCTCCAAAGCCGACGCCAAGCTCCTTCACGATTCCAAGATCAGGATCGTCTGGGAATGACGAGTCCGTGTCACCTAGAGGACGAGGCGTGAACGTCTCGGATTCGGGCTACAACAGCGAGCAATTTTCACCCCAATCGTACTCGAGTTTGCCTACCCGACGTCCTTCTCAGCAGTACAGTCGACGATGCAAAAGCACGTGCAGCATCGTGCTGTCCGCCGTGGATACCGCGGACAGTTCGAAGGAAGGAAGCTTCAGCAAAGTAACGAGCCACGAGACCATCAAACATTCGTACGACAATTCTTGGCGTCATCCCTCGTCGCATCAACACGTCTTCTCGCGTCACCAGTTCAGCACGGTACCGGAGGTTTGCGAAGAGGGCCCAGAGGGTAGTGCTTCCGGCACGAGTGATACTCATGTTTGCAGCAGCGTCCAGGATAAAGTCACGACCAAGTCGACCACGATCAGCAAAGACGCCTCTTCGCAAACGACAGACATAGAATCCCGAGAATCTTCGTCAACGATAACCAGCAAGAGCAAAGTGAGAAGGAAAGCGGCTACTGGTCTCCATCCTTCGGACGAGCAGAAGAAGAAGAAGGTGAGTTGCTTCTTCCTGTCGCGAGAGTCGAACAGGTTTGTATCATGTGTATCTGGTTTTAGCAAGAGAGTCGATCGCCAACCACAGCTTCCGAGACCACGAGCGTCGGTCCTTCAGCGGAGTCGGAGAAGTCCGATTCCTCGGCGAAAGATGACAGCGCGAAACGCAAATCGCGGACGGTGCACATCGACGTGTATTGCACCGGCTCCGACGACGACGAGAATACTGACACGTCGAGCGAGAATGAATGCGACACTCCTATGACCGTGTTTGAAAATCCGGACGTGAAAGTCACCCATACACAGGTAGCGAGTGACGTTCTGCCGAGAGGGCTCGAAGATGATAAGGCCTTTCTGAAACGTGCCACGGAACGACGATGCGACAGCTTTAAACATGCTCCCATGAGAATGCCCTCCATAGCCAGCTCGAAGGGCTACGACAGCGATGACGTTCTCAGTTCGCTTTATCCTTCGCAATTCAGTTCTTACAGTGCTCTTAGAGATCTCGATTCGGCCCCTTGGTCTGCTGCGTCCTCTAACGCGGGTATTCCGTTCGATTATGACTCGACCATCGCTACCTCGTCCAAGGATACCTTATCCGATATAGAGTCTTTGATAAACAACAAAATAGCCTTGACTCCTTGTGATAGCTTCGAGTATGCCAGTAGCACCGATCGCGAGAGGATACAGAGAATGGAGGAAGTATGGACCAAGACGAAAGATGAGGAAAAACGGTGGCGTTCACCGGAAGTCGAGCGTAAATATTTGTTGCAGAATCGAAAGATGAAGGAATATTTGAAAAAGCACGAGATAGGCTGGTCGTCTGGCGACAGTGGCGAGGAATCCGACGAAAGCGGTACAGTGGGATGGAGCTTTGTGTCTGACGAAGACAATCAACGAATGGTTAAGAAAATATCGAGCATCCGACGAGCTAGTAAACCGACCATTCAGCGTACTGAGAGAAACGCGAGTATGGCGGGACAAGAGCTTTTGAAGCAAAAGAATTCACAGCACGATTATTCTGATTCCACAACGCGTAGCGACAGTATTCCCAATCCGTACGCTTTTCGCGAGCAAATCAGGCCATTTGGTTCCAACAGCCCATCTCCTCTTCCATCGAAAGTACCTTCCCGAGTCACTTCTCCCTTTATGACGCCTCAGGGCGAAAGGACCGACCATATTTTGAAAGCCTCGATATTCGGAGCGGTGGTGAACGCGTTTCGAAAGCCAGGCCATCACATAGGACCTTCCAAGAATCCCTCTTGTTCCTGCGAACATTGTCGAAGACATTTCGAGGAACTGAATTCGCGAGAACGTTCTCGTTCTGTGAGCGAATTCGAACGTCAAACGGGATTTCGTTTACAGAATGAAAAGAGGATAGTTCGTCCCATCCCGAAAAATGACAATTCTTAAGACTTGATATTTCATTAATTTTTTTTTAAAGGTTTTTTTTTTTTTTTTTTTTTTTTTTTTTTTAATTACGCTATAGTATTTTCTGTTTCGCAATGAAACTGTATTGAAAATATTGTAAGGTTGTGTTTTGTAATATATAACGCGTGTGTTTAAGTTATATTTATTGAGTACAACATCGTATTCCATACTCATAATTTTTTTTATTTATGATTGTTATGATCTGCTAAAACATTCTGCTGAATATTAAGCATTTATGTAAGCTAACAGATACATACAATTATTTATGCTGTTAATAAACGTTGATTATATTAGTAATCATGCTTTGTTACATAAATCACCTGTTGTTATCCTCGCAGATGTTTATTCAAGTTCAAGTTTCTTTCTTCATGTATTTTTTTTCTTTTCTTCTTTTTTAATTACTTTAGGCTCAAGCAAGTCTTGCAGAATCAAGTAGAAAGTTGGACCTACTGAGATTATCCCTTGAACTTAGAAGACAAGAATTACCACCTGACAGTGGTACTGCTGCTCAGTTGAAGCGAGAATTAGCTAGCGTGCAGTCAGCTAGCCCGGTTCCTGTAACTTACACATCTTTGCAACCGTTTCGTTGTCCTCTGGAGGGTAAAGCTACGGTGCCTGCTTCGGTTTCAAGATGCGCTGCCGTTACTGGACAATTAGAGGTAAAGAGCATTTATGTAAATAATGGCTTCATATAAGTAAACTTAATATAGCGATTAATCGATGTATATTTCTCTTAAATTTTAGGTAAGGTTAATGGGCTGTCAAGATTTGGCAGAAGAAGTGCCAGGTCGCACAAGAAGAGAGCATCCAGCGAGTCCGGATTTACGTAGTTTTGTTAAGGGAGTTACGGGACGTAGTTCGAGCAAATCGTACAGCGTTAAAGATGAAACAAGTAGTAAGTCTTTTTACAAATGTTATGAATTCTTATAAAAAGCTGAGTATCACGTTACCTTTTTGTTTGCTACAGATGATATTATGGCAGTTATTAAACTGGACAACCAAACAGTAGCACAAACTAGTTGGCGGCCCTGTTCCCAGCAGGCTTGGGATCAAAGGTACTATTTTATTATATACATATATTCGTGAAAAGCATGTTCCGATACCCAGTTTTACATATGTTAATTTTACAGGTTTTCCATCGAACTAGATAAGTCAAGAGAACTTGAGATAGGCATTTATTGGAAAGATTGGAGATCTCTTTGTGCTATAAAATTTTTGCGTTTAGAAGAGTTCATCGATGATGTACGGCACGGAATGGCACTGCAATTGGAGCCGCAGGGTCTTCTTTTTGCTGAAATTAAGTTCTTGAATCCTATGATTTCGAGAAAACCTAAATTGCAACGTCAACGTAAAATCTTTAAGCAACAAGTGAAAAATTTCCCAAGAGCTAATCAAATGAACATTAACGTTGCAACTTGGGGTAGACTTTTGAAACGATCAGCTCCTTCATTACATAATACAAGAAACTCCGAAAGTCCGCCATCAGGTAACTATACATTCTTCTTTATGTTCTTAACGAAGTGGCAAATAATGACTACACAAATATTTATTTTGTAGGACCACAACCTCTGCAGCTTTCTTTTGATACTTCATTAGAGGATAAACCCGAAACCCCCGGAGAATTGCCCGACCCCGAAAAGGGAGGCTTAAGTGGAACCAGACCTTTGGGATTAACTACTTCGAGTAGTCCTACACTGCCACGTCCTCCAGAACATCCTCCACCTCCTCCACCCACAGTTACAAAGAAACCTTCAATGCCTGCACCTCCGCCACCGCCAAAATTAGATCAAGAAGTAAGTCGTGAAATTCCTATTATTTTCTTCCTTATTTTTTATTTATTTATTTATTTATTTTTTTTTGCAACAATGTTATTCTCACCAAAGTGTTACATAGAAAATAGTTTTATACTATATTTTGTACCTTTTTAGCGATATTGTAATTGTCCGTCTTATTACAAAGTATTTCGAAGCTATCTAGTATTTTCTATTACTTGAAAGGTTCAGGGTTTTGGTACACTGGTTATGGGTAAAAACCATGTAGAACACATGCATATGATATATTATATTCAGTTGAGTCAATATACTTGCTAACGTTTGTATATAGTACTATATATTTGATCAAGGCATGTTAGTATATATTATATACTTTCAACTGCGCAAGATACTGCTTCGAAGATACTATAAATATACCTTTCTTGTAGGAGGTACCTTGCAAATTTTAAAACGCAATTTATAAAGGGCAAGAACTTGTTACATGCTTAAAGCATATAAATTTTTTATTTATTTTTTACCCTAAGTTTATATGTTATTTTTTTCTTAGTTTTTTTATGCATAGCCGTTTTTATAATGTTTAGCATCGACGTCAAAAAGGTACACTGCAATGTGCAGTGTGCATTGTGCGATATATAATATTCCTTCGACAAAGTTGCAGCAAACTCCCTTCAGTAATTGGGTCAATTTATTTTCTCAGTATGTAAATTACTAAGTTCTTAATATTCGTTATAATTTTATCTGGTAAAACTTTGGTACATTACAGTTTAAAGTATATTGCAACTTGAAGTAGCTTTTAGAGCTAAGCAGATAGTAATGTAGTTACAGAGTGCATTAAGGGAGTTTGATTTCCTGCACAACGAGGAAAAGGGGGGTCCTCAAGGGGCAAATTTGAGGCCTCTCGTAACAGAGCCTCGTCCTGTGCTGATTGCACCACCCTCTCCACGCACACCCTCGCCCCAACCCGTCGTCGAGTTTCCTGAAGATGAGGTACATACCTCCAGTACACGCAGCTTTATTTTTTTTCATTTTTATGCTTCTTTATTATTAACACTTAAGTATAAAATTGTTCTTTTAAGTTTAACGTAATTTATTTTATTAAATTAATAAAACTACTCTTTTTTTTTATCATTATTTTACTAGTTTTCTCACAAAAAGCATGTACCCAAATTTTTTGCATGCTGTGTGTGTGTATCATGTATCAAGGCTTAGTACTGCCCTTGTAAATGTTTAGTTTCATATATACATATATATCATGCTTATAATGTTGCAAATACTTAATTTTTCAACAGGTATCTCTTTAACAGATAACGAAAATGCTATTAAATAAGTAAACTTTAGTTTGTTTATTAATTATACTAATAATGTATGCATTATACTAAGATTTTAATTTTTAATTCAAGTTATGATTAACTTACATATACATTCATATATATATGATAAACTAAATAACAACATTTCATACTATCAATTCATATAAAAATAATATAAATGTAACCATTATCTTGTGGTAAACATGTTATTTTAAGCTAAACGTTTTAACGATTATAGGTTGTATATGAAATGCCGAATAAGCCTGCTCAATACAGAGACAGTGCCTACGAGTCTAGAAGACATTCGCAACTTACTGGAATGACTATAGACAACTTTAGATTACTTTCTGTTCTTGGCCGCGGTCATTTCGGAAAAGTAATCCTGTCGCAATATAGAAATACCGGAGAATACTTCGCAATTAAAGCATTGAAAAAAGGAGATATAATAGCCAGGGATGAAGTAGAATCATTACTTTCAGAAAAAAGAATATTTGAAGTCGCGAATGCTACACGTCATCCTTTCCTTGTAAACCTATTTGCTTGTTTTCAAACTGAGGTATATATTATTTTAGTTATGCAATGAATAATGTTTTAGTTAAAATTTCTCGAAATTAAAATTTTATTTTTCATAGGCACATGTTTGTTTTGTAATGGAATATGCAGCTGGTGGTGATCTTATGATGCATATACACGCGGATGTCTTTGGAGAACAGCGAACTGTGTTTTATTCAGCGTGTGTTGTGTTAGGATTACAATACTTGCATGAAAGTCGCATTATCTACAGGTAGGTTTATCAATAAAAGTATAATACGATATTTTATAAGAAATATGTAATGTTAATAATTTTATCAAATTTATAGGGACCTAAAATTAGATAATTTACTATTGGATACAGAAGGGTATGTAAAAATAGCGGATTTCGGTTTGTGTAAAGAGGGGATGGGATATGGAGACAGGACAGGAACATTTTGTGGTACTCCAGAATTTTTAGCCCCTGAGGTTCTTACTGAAACTTCATATACTCGAGCTGTTGACTGGTGGGGTCTTGGTGTATTAATATTTGAAATGCTTGTTGGTGAAGTAAGTATTATATTTTATTTCATTTATAAACTTATTCTGAACTGAATCTTACTTTACAATGTAATCACTATATTAATCAATATGTGTTTTTTTAGTCGCCATTCCCTGGTGATGATGAGGAAGAAGTATTCGACTCTATTGTGAACGATGAAGTTCGTTATCCACGATTTCTTTCTTTAGAAGCAATAGCAATAATGCGAAGGGTAAAAACGTTAAATATTTCAATACTTTTGTTAGTATTATGATAAATAAGATTTCAATATTATTTGTGTTCAATTACAGTTACTAAGAAAAAATCCTGACAGACGATTGGGTAGTAGCGAAAGAGATGCTGAAGACGTTAAAAAACAAGCGTTCTTTAGGCATATAGCTTGGGATGATTTACTTTTAAGACGCGTAAAACCACCATTTGTTCCCGTAATTGTAAGTATTTTAAAAAATTTGCGTTTTACATTTATTAGAATATTCAGCAGTAAATAATATTAATATTTGTATTTCAGCATTCTGTGGAAGATGTCAGTAATTTTGATGAAGAATTTACATCTGAAAAACCCCAATTAACTCCACCTAAAGATCCTAGACCACTTAGCGATTTAGAACAAAGTCTATTTAAAGATTTCACGTATATGGCTGACTGGTGCTAGCCATAATAACGATGTTAATCGTCTTTTTGTTAAATTTGATACGCAAATCATTTAGCGTTCTATTATTTTTTCAACATCATTTTAGGGGCAATCAAATCGCAATTAATAACACTGATAATTATATATGTGTTTGTTTAATTTTCAGAATATGTTCCACATTTCATAATATTATGCATTGTACAGATGTTTTATTTTTAATATCATGATATAATCAGGCATATAGAATTACAAAGAAATTATGTTCAACATATGAATCTCAGGTTTTTAATTAATATGTATGAATGTCAGATTTTTAACTCGTAGCTATACATTCAGGTTTACATTCATCACGATTGTTTCAGATATATAGTATAGTAAATAATTTGTACATACTGCATTTCGACAGTGGTGTCATAATTCTCCATGGTCACGTAACTCCATTGATCGCCCCATACATTCATGAACCCATCTCGCGAGTCAATTTCCTTTCCTTTTTATATGGGCAAATACGGAAGCATATCGGATATTGCAGGAATGAAGATCTTCTGTAAGTCGTTCTCGACCCTTAGAATGATTGCCCAAAACTGATCATCCGAGTTAGTGATGATATTGTCTCCAGAGACAGTCCCGTCACGGCTGACGAACTGCATTTTTCTACCTCATTGGTATACAACCGTGAACGGTAGAATCGAATGACGCAGAAATTGTGCATCAATTAAGGGATTGGTTTCATAATACTTGTAACAATCAAAATACTCCTAACTGTCCGATAGATTGTTCAATGTTGATATATCATATGTTATCGTTAATCCATTTGTCGCAAAGTTCACCAGGTTGGCTATTTGTGTTTCGATGTTCAATGGCTTGAAGTGGTCGCTCATTAAGTCACGCTAAAACTTCAACGCGATGTCATTCTTGAATAAAACATATTCTGCTGCTGGTTGCTGCTAAGGTCAAAGAAATCATACGAAGCCATATACCCACTCCACACGCAGATCTGAACTTTTATGTCTGCCCATGGGTTTATAGCAACCCCGCTTTTATATATTATCACATCATACTACTACCCCCGATGTTTGATACCCCG